ACCACTAATTGCTGCAGATTTGTGTCTGGATAGGGCCTGGCCCCGACTTGCATGAAGACAGATGAAATTCTGTGATGCGAGACCTTGCAGTGGGTTATTGCCACATTTGGTGAAGTCTAACTCACTGTCTGTTCCTTAAAGGTAAGAGGAATGAGGTCTTCAGGCTGAACTGCTTCCTGTGTCCTCTCTTCACACTGACTTGCTTCCACTTGCCAGATTTATTTCCCCTTATGCCCATAGGAAATAAATATACTTTTCCTTTCAGCCGTCAGTGTCTCTGGAAATAACAGCTCACTTCATCAGGGAGTTGGAGAACTCAAATTTGTACAAGTGGAGATGGAACCAACTGAGAAGTTGCTACAGATACCTGTAGGCCAGTTTTCAGTGTCCTGCTGCTGCTGAAGATTGAGCAGCGTAATAGTCCTAATGAGGGCAGTGTCTAAGGGCAGCCTTGTGCCAATTAGCCCGCTTTGAAGTGTGGTGGGTACTTCAGCTGAACAGTCTGGCGTGGCAGATGTGCATTTTGATGCTCTGTCCAAGGACCGGTACGTGCAGGTAAGAGCAGATGGTGCTCCTGGGTTGGGGTGCTCAGAAGTATCATCTTAAAGATGGATGTTCCCTCTGTAGGGGCCATACATCAAAAAACGGAAGGGAGATGAAGTTCTGGAATAGTGTGGAATTGGGGGTTAGCTGCTTCCCTGCTGACATTAGTGGGTGGCCATGTTGTGTCTTTACCTTTTGTCTGTGTGGGCTCCTACCCTGTGTCTGGGGCAGCAGCAGTTCTGGAACTTGACCTGTTGATCCCTGCAGAGCTCTGAGCCTGTAGGGGTAAAAACCACATTCCTTGCAATGGGTACTGCTGGAGTTTTAGCTGGAAAGCTCTGTAGGGGTAAAAACCACATTCCTTGCAACGGGTACTGCTGGAGTTAGCTGGAAAGTGTGGTTCTGTCTAGTTTTATTTGCTGTCATTAATATTTATTTGGGATAGGTATTTTTTCCTTCTCTGAGAACTCATTCAGGAATATCCTCCTGGGGAGCTGTTGAACCTAAATTGTTTTTTACTACTGTGTGTGGCCCTGTTGTATTTTGGTGCAGAACACAGGCTTCTCTTTCCCAGCATTTTTAGAGCCAGCTTGGCCACTGCCAGGCTGTGCCAGAGGGCACTGAGCAGCCTCACAAAACCCAGTCAAGGGACATGGAGTAAGCAAAGGCTATGGGCATGAAGATCCTCACCACCTCCTGGTGTTTGTCAGCTGTAACGTGACGTAAATTTGAATTTGGTTTCTATAGGTGTTGGGAGAGTTTTGTTTTTCTTACCTGGACATTCAGAGAAAGGCAGGGAGTGCAAGGGAATTACTCAGGCTGTACCTGGGCAGAGAGAGCCCAGAGACACTGGCTCACTCTGCTACTGATGGCTTTTTTTAAAAAAACTGAACTGAAAAAGTGAAAGGGCAGGTTGGGCCATGAGGCTGCCTCAGCATTTGTCAATGAGCATGAAGGTTGGGCCATGAGGCTGCCTCAGCATTTGTTGATGTCTTGTACACCTGTGCTTTTAAGCCCTACTGATCGGGTGGCTGGCACCCTATTTATTTAGAATATTTTGTTGTTTCTCCTTCTGTGCCTGAATTTAACTGCCAGGTGACATGATTAAGATAAAGAGGGTCTTTCTTAAATAGTGTCTTTTTTTTTTTTTCTAACTACCTGCCCTCTCACCAAAACCAGCTTGCAGAGTGTTTCTCAGAGGTGAGTGTTGGTTCCCAAGCTTAACAATGCTCAGTGTCTTTTTATTATTTTTTTTTACCCCCACAAGCCTTTAAGAAAAAAAAGGGGAAGGAAACAAACTGTAGGAGAAGCCCTGGTAACTTTTTTTTTTTTTTTTTTTTTTTTACCCCCGCAAGCCTTTAAGAAAAAAGGGGAAAGAAACAAACTGTAGGAGAAGCCCTGGTAGCTGGAGAGGAGGTACCAGCACTCAACCCAAGTCCTGCTGCACGATGGAGTTATTCCTGGCATGAGGCAGCTGCTAGAAACACCTGGGGGGGTGAGATGCCACAACTGCGCTGGTGTCTGGCTCAGCACGGGGGGGAGAAACAGATTTTGATTCATTTGGCACATTCAGTCCAGTTTGTCATTGCTGTCCGTGCAATATGTGCCTTTGCAGCGCTCTCATCAATTGAAACCTGGCAGTTTTCAGTGATCAGATTTTGTTTTAATGTAGAGTTGATACGTGCTGCCACCTACAGAGGAACTCTCCCAGTTCCACTAAAGGGTCTTCACCCTGTAACTGGGACTGGTACCAGCATTTCTTGTACCCAGAGAGAGGCAGCAGCTTTTCAGTATCTTCCCTGTTGAATTCCAGGGGTTGTGGGGGAGTAGAAGCTTCAGCTTCATATGCTGAGCTTTCTCTTCTGAGGTTGGGGTGTGTGTGTGTATATATATATATGTGTGTGTGTGTATATATATTTTTATATATGTAAAAAAATATACATACTCTGGTAGCTTTCTGGAAAAAATCCAAACTTGTTTCCTATTGTTTTTGTCAATTCTCACCCTTCCAGTTCCAAAGAGGGACATGACCTGGGCTACTGTTTTCTCTTACAATCAGGTGCCTTTCTGATCCCAGAGTCAAATTCCTCCTTTTGAAATGGATTGGTTTCCTGTGCATCAGACTGAAAAAATATTCTTAATGTATTACAAAAAAAAAAAGTGAGGTACTGTCTTATACTTACCTTTTCCCTTGTCCTACAAGTGAACCACCTGCCATGAAGTTCTGTTACTAAACAGTGAGGTAAGAGAACGGGGTTTATTTCCACTATTAAAATGAGGTGTGGGGTTCTGCCTAATGGGGCAGTTTGTAGTAACCAGTGCATCTCACTGGAAAAGATGGGTTTGTTGGGTTTTTGGTATCGCGGAGCTTCTGATACTGTAAGAGCTTCTGCAGCGACATCCCGTCAGAGGGAGAAACCAGATCTGAAAATGACTCTTCATCAATCAGCTAGATCAGGTAAGGACAGTTCATGTCTGGATCTGACCACAGCAGGCCATTGGTTTGCTGTTACCATAAGCTGTAAGAATTAGTGTAGCACAGAAATGAAGCTTTTGAGGGGAGGGAATAAATAATGAGGACACACTGCTGCCCTTTGCTGCCTTGAGTGAAGGACTATTGCCAGCAAACTGACCCTGACGTCAGTGAACCCCTCCCACCGTTTACTCCTGGTACCTTCATTATTTTTTAATGTTTAAATCCATCTCCTCAAAGATGTGCATAAAGTAATTGTGTAAATTAGTGACAGCTTGTAAAGGCTTAAACAGAGGAACGTGTGGTGTCTAATGGAGCATCAGCAGCATCGCTCCTGGGATCCTCCTGTGGCAGCAGGTAAAGGCAGCAGCTCTGCTGCTGCTCAGTGTGTGACATACTTGGTGGAGTGAGGGTTTTAAAGCTGTTTTATAACACTGTCACAACTCTGACTTTTTAAACAATATTTTGCTTCCTGTTCAAGGTGAGGTTGCTTGTTCCTGTCAGTCTGCACGTGTGCTGCTGGCCCAGGCACTAGGGACCCTGCTCCTGTATTGTTACAAATAAATCTTACACACCTTTGTTGCCCTCCCAAATATCAGCTCTAAGACCCAGAGTAAGTAAGTTTTTCTTACACTTCTACCAGCTTCGCGTCCACGACATCACTCCAAATCATCACAAAGAAGAAAAATAAGTAGTACATTTATTGAATCCACTTACTACTACTTCTAGCTTTTATTCAGACACTTGTGCTCAGCTTCGAGAGCCAAGAATTTATCATTCAATGTGAATGATGCTGTACATGAATCCAGTGCAGGAAGTCGGGCTCTTCTCTCTAACAGGAGTGAGAGAGGGGTTTCTAGTCCTTCTGTCCTTTTTCTTTTTGGCTGCACAAAATAAACCCTTTCCAAGGGCACATGAAATAAAATACTATATTGCATACTATATACATTTACATACAACGGTAAATGCACCATTCATTCAGAGATACACAATACCTAAGGCTCAATGGAAAAGCTTGGTTGAAGCAACTTCTCTCCGGGTGGGAGAAAAGGAGCTCGTGACAGTTGTGGAAGTTTCCATACTCTGTTCATATGGATCCTGCCCTGCTGTTCTCCAGAGCTACAGCACCCTCCAGGGACCAGCTGTGCCCGGGGGGAGGGACAATGGCCCTCACACAGCTCCAGAAGCCCACGGCTCAGTGACAGAAAACATGTAAAACCACAAAGGGGGATTTTTTTCTGAGAATAATTATCCAGCAACCACAGGAGGAGGGAAAGCACCTTTAGTACTGCCCTGCCTGTGTCCCTCAGGGGACCCCACTTCTAACTCTAAGCCTTCCCTTTGTAGCTGAATGATACTTTTAACTGATTATTTTTTTTTTTGCTTTTCTCCTTGGACTGTTGGACTGTTGGGGATTAAAACAGGTGCTAGCTCTCAGCACAGGTGGGAGTGCCCCTAGAGCTGTTGGAAAGAGAAAAATGTTGTGGTTTCTTGTATTTTAAGCTGATCAGAGATAGGGAAGGGAATGGGCTGCTTTCACCTGTACCAGCCTTACATTCCAATACCTGATCTTTGCCTCCCCCCGCCGCCGCGCTGCATGAACATGCCTCCAAAGTGCTCTAAGGGGACTGCCCCTAGAGCTGTTGGAAAGAGAAAAATGTTGTGGTTTCTTGTATTTTAAGCTGATCAGAGATAGGGAAGGGAACTGGCTGCTTTCACCTGTACCAGCTTTACATTCCAATACCTGATCTTTGCCTCCCCCCGCTGCCGCGCTGCACCAACACGCCTCCAAAGTGCTCTAAGGGGACCTACAGCTCCTTGGTCATCTGCTGGGATGTCTACAGTCCCTGCAGAGAAGTAACTTGCCACGTTGCCACGTATGGCAACCTTTTCCCTAAGATAACTAATCAGTTTGTGTGTCAGTAGCTGCAGCTTTGCCTTTATCACCTCTGACCAACGTCACTGGACACTGTATCACGTGTGTCAGTAGCTGCAGCTTTGCCTTTATCTCCCCCTGACCAACATCACTGGACGCTGTATCAATCACACCAACTACGCTGCAGATAAGGAGACACAACCTTATGTCTGTCATAGCTGTCCCCAAGAAGGTGCAGTCCCCAAGAGCCACACACCGTGGCACTGTATGTAATGACTGTGGCCACCACAGGCTGCCTGGGGAGGAACCAGCTGCTCTTGTACCTTGCTGTTGCCAAATAGATTCCTGGATAGAAGCTGGGGTTCACTGGACTAGATTCCCCTAAATTAAGCTGCTGCTCTTTCCTCAGCAGGGGCTCAGTACTCACTGCTTGTCTGTCCTTCTGGACGCAGAGGAGGAACACACTAACCCTCCAGAGCCAGGGCCTGTTTCACACCCCAAGAAGAGCAATTTAAACATAAAGTGTTAACCGTGCTCTCTCCCTGGCTCGGAGCAGGGCAGGAATTCCAAATCCTGTATGGAAAAGTCAAAGTGTAACACACCATCAATACTCCTGGTGGTGTCGGAGGCAGCAGCCCTTCCTGAGGGTGGGGAAAGGCTCCACGTGGACATTTCTCTGCTCCTGCTCGTTTGTCCGGCTGTTTTGGCTCGAGGAGAGATGGCATCACGGCGCTGGAGCACCGCACATCCCCATGGCACTGGGGGCACCGGAGTCCCTCTCAGCTCCAGCTGGAATTCTGCAGTTCCTCACGGAGCCAGGTTGGAAGGGGCTGCCCCAGTCTGTTCATCAGCTTGGATAATTCAATGTTGTGCTCCCGGTAGAAGTCTCTTAGGAACAGCCGTGACTGAGTGGAAAAATACAGAGCACATGAGCAGGAAAGAAAACATTCCCCTCAACACCTAGGACACAGGTGGCAGGAAAATTCAGGTTGGTTTCCTGGGATGTTTCTACAGCTCCTGCTGCCCAGGGATATGAGGGTTACTCACCGAGGGATCCATATCAGGGTATTTTCTTCCTTTACTCTTTCCCAGGCATTTAGTCTTTCCTCCATCCAGCAGCTGGCACCAAAATCCTTTTGCTTCATCAAATCTGAAAAGGACAATTGTCTTTAAAAGATATGGCCACGTGCCCAATTAGCAGCAGCAGAAATTAAATAACTCCATAGGTATGTCCCATTTCAGTGCTTTACAAATGGGTCTGGGTTTTTATTTATTTATTTGTGATATCGGTACCTTTTTTTTTTAAGCACTTGACTACTTTGACCAGAAATCCATTACAACCACGATTGCTTCAGCTTTATGCAAATTTCAGAGGTAACATGGTGTTAGGATATTTGCCTATTAAGCTTGGGGGAGGGGAGGATAATAATCCACATTTTAGTGCATGTAAATTCTTTTAAATCTCCTCATTATATTTGAGATGTATTAGAGAACCCACTGACCATTTAAAGAACAAGTGTTTCTTGCCTTGCTAGAACACCAGAATAAGGCAGAGCTGGGAACCACAACTGGGCCAAGTCTCTCCTGTCCCCTCAGTTGGCCAAGCTTGAGTGTGAGGTTTGAGCAAGTACCTCTTCCACACGGAGGCCACCTGACCAATGCCACGGCTTTTCTGACCCTTTCTCCTGGTTCTCCTCTCTTTGCTGTTCAAGGAAAGGGCAATGGCCACACACCTACACACACACCACTCGCTGCCCTCGGCCAGCACGGGCTGGGATAGCAGAGGAGGTATGAAACCGCAGGTTCCAGCTGCAAAGAACAACATTTGGGATCTCCAGGGGACTTGCAGAGCTCCCACTGAAGACTGATGCAGTCATGGTTCATCTGCAGCTGGCACTTAATTGTACTCAGATTAATTGCACTTGCACTGTGGGCAAGATCACAGCAATGGCTGAGTAATGTCCTTCAACTTAGAATCATAGAATCATTGAGGTTGGAAGAGACCCTTGGGATCATTGAGTCCAACCATCTACCCTACTCTACAAAGTCCTCCCCTACACCATATCCCTCAGTACCGCATCTAAATGTCCCTTAAACACAGCCAGGGACGGTGACTCAACCACCTCCCTGGGCAGCCCGACCCTGGCAGCTCCAATGCCCGACCACTCTCTCTGTGAAGAATTCCTTCCTAATGTTCAATCTAAACCTACCCTGTTGGAGCTTGAAGCCTGTGCCTCAGCCAACACCTCCTCAGACAGCTCCGGGCACCTGGCAAGTCCACATTTTCTGTAATAAAAGGCTCTTTATCTCAAAACCGTGTGATGTGTCCCTAATTCTCCATTTAGCTGGAGATACGAGCAACCTGTCACACATTTTTAATCACACCTCCTCTACTTTCTGTCAGATACAGGTATAACATGAAGCGTAAAGAGCACTAATAATTCCAGTGCCTTTTCTGAAACCACAAAGGCCAAATGGAAAACATCATAATTACTGTGAGGAACTCAGTGCCAAAAATGGTGCCAGTGTCCTCCCCCAGAGGATTTCCCTACCTGAGGGCCTGGGTGTAGTTGAAGAGCGGCGTGACTCCCAAGAACTTCTGGATGTTGTCCATTACAGAGGCAGGGTTGTGTCTCAGCTCCTGGCCGTCCACGATGAGGAGCTGAAAAGAGAGCGGCCACCTCAGCCTGTGACAGCTTGTGCTCAGTGACACCCCCCCCTTCCCAGCTCCCAAAACTCCCCACCTTTGTGTGTGTGAGCAAGGGCTGGCAAAGCCTGTTTACTCCAGAGCAGCACAAGGGGGGATGTGGCCCATTTGTCACCACAGAGAATAAATCATTGAATTGGGTTGGAAGGGACCTTCAAGACCATCTAGTCCAATCATCAACCAAACTCTGATAAAAACCATCCCTAAACCCTGCCTCTCAGCACTACGTCAACCCATCTTTTAAACCCCTCCAGGGATGGTGCCTCAGCCACTGCCCTGGGCAGCCCATGCCAATGTGCAATAACCCTTTCAGTGCAAAACTTTTTTCTAATATCCAATCTGGACCTCCCCTGGCACAACTTGAGGCCCTTTCCTCTTGTCCAAAATACCCTAAAAGAGTAGGTCATGACAGGTTTTGCTTAATAAAGTTGCTTTTGGCCAAACGCCCTGTAACTGCATTGAGGCCCCGCAGGAGCAGGATTTACAGATTGTCTCTGGAAAGCTCCTGTGCTTTTTAGCTGTGGGCAGCCATTGTGCCCAGTGTCCTGCTGTAACCTGTGGGTATTCTCCTGTTACATGTATGATAGACAGTAACAAACAACATCTGTGCCAATACATTGCCTGTTCCAAAGAAAAGGATAGAAAAACAGTCACATGAACTGAAGCCTGGGGAAGGCAGGAGACCCCGACCCACAGTAAGTACGAGGACGGTGTGTCTGGATCTATCACTCCTCACCCCTGGAACCCCCAGGAATAGTGAGGCAATGAGATACAAGCCCAAGAATGTTCTCCCCTGTCTCTTTTAGTCTTGGCAGATCTACCGTGTACAGTTTAGACCGCTGCCTTGGCAGAGAATAAGAGATTAAACGGGCATTTTAAGACTCTGCTGGATTACAGGCTGTCTGAGGATAAACCCAGCAGGAGAAAGGAACTTGAAAAAAAAACACATCCTGACTCACACGGTATTAGACAGTTTATACATTTCTTGGGAAATTAGAGACAGTAATGGTCTATACTGCTGATCTTTTTGCAAATTTATACACAAACCATAGAATCCTGACATCTCTGCAGTGAAATCTCCCTTCGGTGGGCAGCTAACGAGTGGCCAGGAGCCTCTCTTTAAAGCAGGGAAAGCAGAGCGAGCAGCTGAGCCCCCGCGGGGCCTGCCCAGGGTCCCCGGGCTGCAGGAGGGGGGATGAAAGGAAGGGAGCAGGAACACTGCTCTTCCTGCTGAGCTGCTCGATATCGTGGAGGCTCCGGGAGATCACTGTATCCTCCTGCGCTCACTTTTACAAATACAGCAAAGTATAGTGTAAAATGGGAGTATTCAAGCCTCATTTCTTACCAGCTCATAACAGGAGGAAGCAAGTGGTGGCTCTTGTTCCAAAAGCCAAGACCAAAGGTGAAATGAAAACAATGGAGGGGGGGGTAAAAACACGTGCACGTGGTATGGTTTGTTCTCCTCTCCACTCAACCTACACGGGGCTCCACCAGAGCTGCCAAACCTCTTACCTGGCCGGAGGGGTAGTAGGTGAGCCAGCGCTCCAGGTGAGCCGAGTACCAGCCGGGGAGCAGGCACCGGCTCTGCAGGTTGCGCAGCTCCTGAGGGGCCTGGGATTTGGCTGAGATCACTTGGTAGAAGGTGTAGTTGAGCGCCACGGGGTCGTTGTGAGCACGTTGGTGCTGAGAAACACAAGCTGAACTTAGGAGCGGGGACACAAAATTCCACCCTTGCACATCTCTCAGCACACCTGCCCACCAGTGTCTTTGTGTGTGACTCTGTCCCCACTCTGGGACACTCTGTGTCATCTCCCGGCACCCCCATGGCAGTGCCTCCACGGCGTTCTGCCCCAGCCCCCCCCCTCACCCGCAGAACAGCGCCGGGGAGTTACCTGGTACCAGGAATAGGCTCGGTCCGCAGGGTTGATCAGAACCGTGATGATTTTGGCTCGAGGCAGCAGGGCCGCCCCACGTTTCGGAACCACCTCCGTGTCAAAGTAATTAGCGCTCTTCTCAAACATGAAGTCTGTGCTGGCGTTGGAGGGAATGGGGAAGAATTCCATGTACCTGCCGAACAGAGGGGATGGAGATGATGAAAGGGTAAGAAAGCATTTTGCTGGGAGTGTTCCCCAAGTCCTGGGGTGGTGGAAGGCAAAGGCTGAGGACAGGGTGCTCCTTGCAAGCCAAGCTCTAGCAGAAAAGAGGTTTTGTCCAAGAATAAGGCCAGAATCAGGTGCCAGCCCTGCCACTGAGCACTTGTTTAAACCCATCTATATTGTTTGTCTCTGTGTACCTCAGTCTGTAGCTGAGACACAAGGTCGGGAGCTCTGCTCTGCCTCACAGGGGCTTGTCAAGTTGGTAACGTGGAAACTCAGGCATTGGAGCAATGGCAGGGCAGAGGGTAACGGGGGTCAGGGCACTGCAAAACACTGCAAGACTGCTCTCTGCTGAAATTTAAGCTGTACAACGAACTCAGACTCCATGCTAAACATGAAGATTCTCCTCTTCCGTGTGATGCTACACTCAAATCAAGTTGGACGACTCTTCCAGGGGATGCAAATAAAACCCTGGGCTTCTCAGCTGTCAGCTACTGCAACTCCTCTGTACTGCCTGGCTCGTGAGCTTCACTCAGGTACCAACCATCTTCCACTATCTTTTCAATGGTTCTCTAAATGGTCAGAGAAGTCAGACAACATCTCCCACAGCTCACAGGCAAAGAAATCCCACAACAGAATGCCTTAGTGCCACACAACCAAATGGCAGGGCAGAGGGTAACGGGGGTCAGGACACTGCAAAGCACTGCGAGACTGCTCTCTGCTGAAATTTAAACTGTACAACGAACTCAGACTCCATGCTAAACATGAAGATTCTCCTCTTCTGTGTGATGCTACACTCAAATCAAGTTGGACAACTCTTCCAGGGGAAGCAAATAAAACCCTGTGCTTCTCAGCTGTCAGCTACTGCAACTCCTCAGTACTGCCTGGCTCGTGAGCTTCGCTCAGGTACCAATCATCTTCCACTATCTTTTCAATGGTCCTCTAAATGATCAGAGAAGTCAGACAACATCTCCCACAGCTCACAGGCAAAGAAATCCCACAACAGAATGCCTTAGTGCCACACAACCATCCCTCAGAGCCACCCATGAGGGACTGCACTGCCATGGGTGACCCAAAGCTCATGAAAGGGCAATGCAGCAAGAAAACCTTTAAATTTTCTCTGTCTGGAAACAACTGTACAACGAACTCAGACTCCATGCTAAACATGAAGATTCTCCTCTTCTGTGTGATGCTACACTCAAATCAAGTTGGACAACTCTTCCAGGGGAAGCAAATAAAACCCTGTGCGCTGTCAGCTACTGCAACTCCTCTGTACTGCCTGGCTCGTGAGCTTCACTCAGGTACCAACCATCTTCCACTATCTTTTCAATGGTTCTCTAAATGGTCAGAGAAGTCAGACAACATCTCCCACAGCTCACGGGCAAAGAAATCCCACAACAGAATGCCTTAGTGCCACACAACCATCCCTCAGAGCCACCCATGAGGGACTGCACTGCCATGGGTGACCCAAAGCTCATGAAAGGGCAATGCAGCAAGAAAACCTTTAAATTTTCTCTGTCTGGAAACGTAGTGGCATAGTGGCAATAGAATTTCCTTGTCTGGTGGAAATACTTTATCATAATTGCATATTTTTACAAGTGGACACTGCTTCTCAGCTGTCAGCTACTGCAACTCCTCAGTACTGCCTGGCTCGTGAGCTTCGCTCAGGTACCAATCATCTTCCACTATCTTTTCAATGGTCCTCTAAATGATCAGAGAAGTCAGACAACATCTCCCACAGCTCACAGGCAAAGAAATCCCACAACAGAATGCCTTAGTGCCACACAACCATCCCTCAGAGCCACCCATGAGGGACTGCACTGCCATGGGTGACCCAAAGCTCATGAAAGGGCAATGCAGCAAGAAAACCTTTAAATTTTCTCTGTCTGGAAACGTAGTGGCATAGTGGCAATAGAATTTCCTTGTCTGGTGGAAATACTTTATCATAATTGCATATTTTTACAAGTGGACACTGGAGCCAGTGCAAGGAACACAGTGATGGCTCTAAGTTTAAAGGGCCCAGAACAACAGTAGGGAGGTTGCCCCTCTGTACTACCCCTCTTAACTCAGAAACCACACAAGAACTTTTTAATGAGCACAGTGCTGCCTGTTTTGCATGTCAAAGGAAAAGAAACCTCATGACAGCAGGGCATTCACCAGTGACTCTTGATTTTTGAAGTTAAATCAGGCCCACAAGTCACTAAGGTCAGACACTACCTGTCCCGCTCCTGGGCTGAAGCAGTTGGGTTACCAGAGATCATGCACTGAGCAACAGCAGTGAAAGCATCTGTTCAGAACGAGAGAAGCTACTAAGGTGGCTGAGGTGGACAGAGACTCAGGAGAAGACAACATGGGTGCACCTTGTGACAGAACAACACGCGCCAGCATTCTTACCAATCGATTCCTTTATGATAGTTGGGTCCATTAAAAAACTGGATCTCCTCGAAGGTGGATGGACTTGGGAAGTTACTGGTGACAGCTGGATGCATGGTCAAGAAGAAGTGCACAGCTGTTGTGCCTGCAACAGGAACCAGTTAACGGGACCCGGGTCACACATAATGAAAGGCTTTACCTACGCTGCAAAACCCAGTCCCTGGGTGGGCACGCTCCTGTCACACGTGGTGAACCCACTCCTTAACTCGTGCAGGTTACGCCAGCAGTGACACCAGGCACTTGGGGATTTAACTTTACTCAGTAGGTCAACCCCACGTTGCAGCTGATTTAAGTCACCTCCTTAGCATGAAAGCCACCCCCCACATGGACTACCCCCACACCTCTATCCCTGGTGGCAGAGTCACCCTGGCATGTGGCAGAACCCACATCTGCCAAACAGGAGGTGGGCTGGGCACTGCAGGTGCCTTGTGTTTGGGAAGGAGATGTGTCAGGGACAACATCAGTGTCCTCAGAGGAGAGTGCCTTCCCTCTGCTGTGGATGTTTTCCCTTCACCCAGCCAAACCCCGTAATCCTGCTCAGCACACACACCAACAGAGCTTCTCGGTGACACGGGCAGAAGAGAGCAGCTTGGCCAGGACAAGCTTCCACCCAAGGCCAGGATCACTCTTTGCTGTGCACGGTTGGTGGCTGCTGTTTCAGAGAAAGCCAAGGTTTGAAGACCTGGCGTTGGCGGAAGAGATTTTGCTCTCTTCAGGCTAGAAGGGACTCCTCAGTACAGTCTGTCCGGCCATGTCACTGCCAGCCACAATGCCACAGCAGCTAAGAGGTGGTGACAGAGGTCAGGCAGAAGAGGACGGCCACCTCCCACTGCCAGTGACAGGGAGCACTGAGTGGTACACAGATCTGTGGCAGGAAAAGCACTAGGGGGCATTCATCCTCACCTTTGCTAAGCCTGTGTGTGAGTCCTGCTGACAGCTTATGTTTGTGACAGCTAGGAAAGGTCACAGTTGCTCTGAGCTTACGTGGAAAAGCCAAAACCCTCCTCTGCAGCAGGGCTTTTCCCTCTGCAAATCAGGACCGAGCCAAGCAAAGTGCCAGGGCGCAAAGTACTGACAGACTTGCCAGATTTCGGTTAGAACAAATCTCTGAGATTCTCTGAAATGTCCTCTGCAGCCACTTGGCAGCCTGCACGGAGGGCAGCCAGACACATCTACAGCACAGACACTTCCAGCTCTCCTCCCCGGGGGGACGAGAGGGGAGCTGCCATCTATCTTTAGATAAAGCGTTCACGTTACCGGTTTTCTGAGGTCCCACGATGAGGAACTTGGGGAGTCGATCGCAGGTTTTCTCTTTGGACCAGATATCCTTGTGCCTCTTATCGTCACAGGGGTTCTGCAGCACAAGGGAGGGGATTAAGCCTTACCACAGGAGCTAATGGAGAGGGGAGGAAAAGCTGGAAGGCCAGTCCTCCGGGGAAAATGCCATTAGCATATGAAGAACACTTCACAGCCACACCGCTGCTCTGCCAGGCATCAAGAAGAGCTCAGTAAAAACACGAGGGAACATGTTTAAAAGCTCTAAAGTGACAGGGGAGCCAAAGTCCCTCTGAGAGAGTAACCACAGGCCTGGCCCCGTGTAGCCGTGATGGGCTGGGCCACCACGATAGCACAGCTCAGCATCTGTGAACTTCTGGCAGATAGACAACTCTATCACCTCCAGTTAATTTCATCTGCTCATTATCATGCGGAGAGCTGCTGCACTGGGATAAAATGGAATAAGCGTGTTTTTATTTAATGAACATAAATTCTGCAGTGTGAAATTACTTTAAGATTAACCACATTAACACGCCTGTAAGCTCCTCCAGCACCAAACAGGGCTCTTCCTTGCACACTTTACATTTCACAGCAGCTTGCTCTAATCTGAGCCCTTTAACAACCCAAACGCCTGCAAGCCTGCCCCCCAGTCACTTCTGACAGCCACTCCTGTCCCTAAGCTCACAGCGTGACTGTGTCCTACAGCTTCTACTCCCCATCCCTTCCACCTTGCAAATTTGCCACCCGCAGCCACAAGCCACAAAGGTTAAACCTAAAAACTTTATGCATTACCCCTCCGTGCTCTGGATCAGCAGTCTCACCACACCTCAGATGTGGGACATGCCTCTTGGAAAACCACTAGGAGCAGTTAAAGCTGCCTTCTCACCTGCCACAAGGGGTTCTTCTCCTGGGGAAAGATCTCAAAGTACTTTTTGGCCAGCTGGACAGGGGGCAGGGTCTGCAGGCGGAGGTTGGTCCAGCACTGCACAAACTTCACCAGGCTCTCAAAGGTGTACAGGCCCAGACGGTCGTTCCCATAGTTGGACAAGTGGGTCATGAAGATGCTGATCTGAAAAGAGAAAAGACATGGGATACTGGTTAGTCAGGTGACGGTACTGCTTCCTCCTAGCTTGATTTTACTGTCATCAAGAGTCTTTTCACATCTCAGACTGCCCTGGCTGTCTGGGTTGATCAATATGTCTCTGCCAGTGTACAGCACTGCCACGATGAAAAACTAAAGAAATGTAGTGGTTGCAAAACAGGAGGAACTCAGGAGAGGAGGGACACAGACCCCTGGGGAATGGTGGGGTGGGGGCCCCCCAGGGAGAGGGGCAGCAGGCTGCAGGCTCAGGCACAGTGGCACAAGGGACAGTTCTCACAGGAGTTATTTCTAGGCCCACAGCCTGTCAGCTTTCACTCACTTCAGAGTTGACATCTCAAGGGTAAAGGAACAACCGGCAATTCACACTTTAAAATGCAAGCAAGTGTACCTGGGGATCCGAACACGGACTGCAAAGAGACACTGCACGAGGACATTGTCCTGAAAACAGACATCAGCTGAGAAGGTTTTAGCTTTCAAGAGCCTTCAGCACAGGCAGCCCCTGAAAAATATGTCCTGCCAAGCCTGAGGGTGTAAACCTTTGTGCAAAGTGGCACTGAGCACCCACGGGAGCACCCCCAGCACTGCAGTGCTCGGGAGCCTGTGTGCTATCTCTGCCTTACCAAGCCATCTCTTCTCTCAAGCAAACACATTTCCCTCCTGTCTGCTTTTCAGTATTTCAGCTTTTGGAAGAGTGCAAAAGACTGCTATCAGCTTGACTCTGGTGTGGCTTTGACAGGTCCCATGGAACCAGGCATCCCAGTGCCTGTAACACAACAGCACTTTTCCCAGACACAAACCACACCATGGCTAGAAGTTATCAAAACAACAGCAGAACACCAGGGCCAAGGGAAGAACGACTACGAGGGTGATTTAGCGCTCCCGACCCAGTGTCTGCTAGTGCAGGGGGGAGAAGAGGCGTCAGCCGTTGTAGGGGTACCCATTGCTGCCTAATTCAGAGCTTCATCCTGATGATGCCAGGTAAGGTCAGGAGGCAACAACAGGCCTCCCTGGCAGGGGGCAGGAATGGCTTTCCCGCTCACAGTAGGGGAAGAGCAAAAGGGGGAAGCAGGAGACAGATGGTCTTGGGATGAAGACATTTGCTGGCACTCAGGAGGTCTGAACTCAGATTTCTGCCCAGTGTCACCACAGCCTGGTCTCAGTGCAACAAGACAGATACTGATAGATAGTCGCTCTTTGTGCCTGAGCCATCCCCGAGACGCTGTGAAATTAATGTAATCCTGTCTATAAGGTGCTCACACCGCCTGATCTTTGCAGAGGCAACAGAAGACAGTGGCGGGATGCTGGGACACATGGAAATTAAGCAGAGTTAAGGATTTATTCCGTTCATCTGCCTGTGAGTTTTTCACTTCTGGTTTCCTACTGAGCTGAGGGAGGCCCTGCCAGACAGGCTCCGGCACCTACACTTCAAAGAGCAGGGTGTGCTCGGTGCCGTTGTGTTAAAGGGATGTGCTAAACACAACACAGAGCAAAGGACAGAAAGATCTTCTGTGTAACTGCAGGGCCACGCCATGGAGCACATAAGGTGGCAAATGGATGTGTCTCGTGTTGCCTTTTGACCGTTTCTGGGAGACAGCAGGGAGGTGGTGTGACACCAAAGGGTGGCTTAGCCCTTTGACTTGCTAGTGAAACATTTAGAGTGAAAATTTGCTGCATGAAGTGCCTGGCTTACTGGCATAAAGCAAGTACTGCAGCAGAGAAGACACAGGTCACCACTGGGGGCCCCTTCAAGATTTCCAGAAAAAAACCAAGCCTGCACATGACCCAGGTTAGCAACTGTGTCTGAAGAGTGACTACATTGGGAAAAAACGGCTCACACAGGAATGCTGTCACCTGCAAACAGTCCCAAGCAGCTGGGTTTAGAAGAAGACAAGCCAAGCCCAAGTGAAAAGCCGTTTCCCTGTACTTCTGAGCGTGCAGTCACGTCCCGTAACACACAGGCGCTGTTTAACAAGGCCTGGCAGCCTCCTCTGCCTCGTCACAGCCACGGCTGCCAAAACAGCCCTGAGCTCCTGACATAAGCTACGCTCCAGTCCCATCTCTCCCTCCCTCCCATCCACACCCAGTGCCCCCGGGAACCAGCTTGCTAATAACGCCTCCCTCCATCTCCCCCTCAGCACGCCATGGTTTTCCTTCCTTCATGCCGAGGAAAAACCAGAGGAAAGGTCACAGAGAGCCTAGAATGCAGAAAACGGGAGGGCAGGAGCATCCTCACAGTATGCAACAAGCAGCTGTGGGCAACAGCAGCAACCTGCCTGTGTAGCGTGAGCAAAAGTGTTTGTGAAAAGCGATCACAAAGATGCCCTTTTCCTTCTGGGAAACAGGGACCGGGCACACGGCAGCCTGCCTGCTGAACATCCACAGCTATTGTCCTCCTTTGACATCAGACCCTGTTTGCTAGTCAGAAGATCAAACATCTCCTGTTTGCACTGTGGAGTTAATCATAGGCACACAGAGGCTTGGAGGCTCCTGAGCGTGTGTGCCCACTCCAAGGGAGTTGGAAGCACCAAAAAGGACTGAAAGAGCCTGGTCCAAGTCTGCTACGGATCACTGCCGGGGCTGCGGGGCTGGCCAGCTTTCCATCAGGTCCCTGAGATGGCTCTATCAGCGAGGGGAAGAATGCGAGGGTCTGAGTCACTGTGCAAACACACCAGCAACCAAGAGGAGCTCAGAGCGCCATCCTCCAGCGCTGACAGAGAGAGGAATCCCCACTGCCAAAAGGAAGCAAAAGCATAAACATCGGAAGCATCTGAAGGCGTTTTGAAAGTCACCACGAAGAACCAACTGTTAATCTGGGGAATAAAACTGACCTTATACCAGAGCACAACCTTCACAAACTTTTTGGATGACAGATCACTGACAGCTGCTTCGACCGTCACATGCTTATCAGCAAATTTTAACGGGTAGCTCTAGAAACCATGTTTCTACTAAGACCTTGGCACCGCCTCCTAGACCAGCAATGATGTCTGGATTACAGTCCAGCAACTGGTTTTCCAAGCTCTTAAGTTTCACGGTGGCTATTTCTGCAGGCATTCTTTAAGATCTGACAATTATGAAGTGAGACAAGGTGAAATTCACCCAACATGTGGGAAGAGAAGCCCAAAAAGCAATGGTCACAGAGAAGAAAACAGTTTCTTGCCATCTGACCTATCACTCCATAGAAGAACAGCCTTCTCCTTACTACAGTCTTTTATTAAGCAGGTAGATTGGGGGATTGTGTGTGAAGATAACACCTCTGTTTCAGGTGATAGGGACAGAAGGCTGCCTTCCAGACCTCAGGATGGAAGGTTGGCTTCCAGACCTGGAAGTACGAACCCCTACTGCTTTTTAGTCAGGGCTGTTACAGATCCATACCTTCTGCAGATCATGCACCAAGCTAGAGTCAGCCCCAGGCCAACCTTCAGAAACACAAGGCCTGTTTGTAAACTACAGCCTGTCTGTGTGATGCACCCAGAGCACATTGCCAGGGTCTTTTCACCACCACAGTCCTACTTCTAGGAGCAGAGAGGTACTAAACACCAGGAAAAGCAAGAGACAAGAAAAAATTAAGTTCACTGAGCAAAAAACCTTGATTTTCTGATTCACTGAGCCAACCAAAAGTGGCTAAAGCTGCGTATTCAACCCTGCCAATCAAGATGCAAAAGGAGGAGGGAATTAAAACATGACAGTGAGCAGAGCCACTGATGGTGCATGACAAATCCAACAAACAGGTACTCAATGACTGGGACCAGTACTCCAGGGTTCCCACCTAGGAAGCTAGTGAGAAACAACCTACTTCCTCTCAGATCTGCTCGCATGGCTTCTTGCCCATACTCAGGCACTGGGGGAAAAGATGTATAAAGGAGAAGTAAGAAGGTAGACATTTGGAAGTAATGAGAAAAGAAGAGATTAAATACTATTAAAACTCAGGAGTGGCTGCAGTAGACATTCTAAAATAACTACCTAAACCTGGCAATGCCCATTCAGAGAAAGGGAGGACAACAGGTGCCCAATCTGCTTTAGGAAGAAACAAATTCAGGTGGGGAATTGAGAAAGTTAATGTACAACCAGAACAAGCAGCGTGTCCTCCTGCTGCAGCCAACAAGCAGGAATATGAAGGAGTGTGATCTGCGGCTGGAGAGGCTTACAAAGCTTCGTCTCCTAATTCTACCCATTCAGAATTTTTCAAAAAATGACCCCTTTTGTTGTGTGTCTCATGCCACCTTGTACATCTTCCCAGTTTCAATAGGAAGCAACAAATCTATGTGATTTGCCATTCATGGGAAGGGAGTGCAGGGTGAAGTACTACATCAGCCTGGTGGCGTGATGGAACTGTCAGTATGAAAAGGGAAAGAAAAACACCTGTGTCAGACCCAGATCTCCCAAAAACGCCTTATGGTGACAGCTACATCACAAAAAAAGCACACAGAAATTGTTTCAAGAGTGTACATATTGAAAGAAAGGGGAGAATGCTCCATAATGACAGCCCAGAGAGAGCAACTATCCTGAACAAAGCTCATCAAGGAGCCAGGGGAGAGGCCAAAGGGCAGCAGATGTGGGTGGAGCAGAAGGAGCCAAGACACATCTCAGTTCTGGTTCTGCAGCAGCCTAGGTAGCACCCACTCTGCGTTAGGCCGTGCTCAGCATGTCACCCTGGCTAGTGTCTACCTGTCACCACTTGTCACCCCTCAGTACTGATGCTTCCTTGGTGGTGTGTAAAGCAAGGCAACACTAACCAGCAAGGACCTCCCTGCCCCCCTTTTCACATCTTCTTCACATCACTGGAGATACCCATACTGTGATGGTTGGTTACACTGAATCTCCCATTGGATCTAGGCCTTTCTCGCATCAGGCACATAAGCAAACACATCCACACACTGATTCCCCTTTCAGAGAAGCTTACTGGGTTCAGGAGCACCGTCAGGAAGAGTTCACCACCACGAATGCTCTTGTCCAACTCCTTTGAGCCACCGGGATATTCATTGTAGAAGATAGTGTGAGTAAAAAGACCACAGGTCTGTCGAGGCAGAACCTGGCAATGTCAAAGAAAAGCAAAGTTAGATAAGAGGCAAATGCAGCAGAACCTACATATGAACATGTCAAAGTAGCACTCTGTGGATCAATACACAAAGAGTAAGGGACATAAGGACACAGGTTCAGAGGAATCTTTCGATATTCCTCCCAAACATTTACTCATCACAGTGCCACCAAGTCAGTGGGGTCTCAGTTTAGCCCCGCTGTGCTTGGTTTCGCTCTCCATTCAGTGCTGACCTCTGAACCGTACTGAGAAACACAAAAACTGGCTTTAGCCAAGTTTTTTCTCTTTGACTTAATAATTCTGGAAACACTGGTGGTATTAAGATTAGTGTCTCTGATGCAGGTCACTAGGGACTGTCTCTTGGGCAGGAAAGTGGGGTCTGGTTGCCCAGCTGTGCTCACCATGATTCCGTTGTGGATGAACCCACGGCGGTACCGGGCAGGCCGCAGGTGTGGGTATTCCTCTGTGCTCGTTACCTGGATGCTCCAAACAGATTTCCACGCCTCATAGAGTTGTGTGTGGACAGGATAAACCCCAGAATGATGGGGAGCTACGGCATAGCCCAAGTCTGTGGGAATCCCATGCTCCTGGAAGCAGAATATGCAGAACAATAATTCAGTATTTAACTAATATCCTTAATAAGGATCATATTTAGCAGTGGACTCCAACTTGGAGCGAAGTGACAGAGTAACATGAAAACTCTCCGGATTGGGAAACCTCAAATACCGCTTGTCCTTCTTGTTTTATGCATCTATTGAAATATAAGGGTGATTTGATATCAACAAGGACATTCAGCATTAGTAACAGCTGCTGTTAAGAATGGTCTTGTAGCTTGCAGGTGTGACAAATCACATTAATTCACAAGCCTCAGGTCATGCTCCTTGGTAACTACAAACTAATCAACACTGTTAAGTGACACATCTCACCCCCACAATTCCTAGATCTGAGTCACTAAAGGAGGAAAACAAAATTTCCTTAACTGATATACAAAAGGGAAGGAAGATGGTGACTGGGATCTGTCTTGTCTCTAGCAATTCAAAGAAAAGCAGACATGAAGCAAGAGACTGTTGAGGGTGAAGATATGGAGCCTGGAGCTATACTAAAATGACAGGAAATATCTGAATTTCATGGTTTTTAATTCCGCTGTGTGGTTCTGGTAACAATATGAATGATGACAGCTCTGCCCTGGTGGTGTACAATAAACCCAGAGCCCCTAAATGAAGCAACAGCCTTCTCCTTCCCACTGCTAGCCTGTTTTACGTTAAATAAGTGTAATTGTGTTCTGTGCTTTGTCTCTCTTTGCAAAAGACTGCACTGTTATTTAACCAGGAAAAGAAGGAGCCTAAATTGTTTCTATAATGCTGCAACTGTGCCCTGAATTCAAGATCATTCCTAATTTGTATGTGTCATGGGAACACAAGACAGCAGCCTGCTATTCCCAAGGGGATTACCATCAAAAGAACCAAACTAGAGGTGAAGAGGACATTTCTTTTCAGAGAAACATGTACACTACATTCAACTCTGGGCTGTAAGCTTCAAGCAGACTCTGTTCCAGCAACGCAGGATGTTCAAGGCTTCCCCCTCCTCCACCAAAACCCAGGGAATTTCCCCTGGACTTCCTAGATAAGTAACTTCCCCCAGCATTGTCTGGGGAGGCCAGAAATAGGGCTGTGAGCACACAGAGTGTTTTATACCACCAACCAGGTGACTTCCTTACAAAACCGCAGCAAATAAGGACAGAAAAGGAAATGCCTTCTCGCTGCCAGAGTCTGTAAGTTAATTGGATTTGGATGGCAACGCTACAGGTTCACACCTCAGCAAACAAGAGCCTTGGGATTTGCACCCTGGAACGCAGGGAGCTGCCTGGGGCCAGGCAGGTGCCAGGAAGCACTTCCCACTGCACAGGCAGGCATCCGAGCCCTCTGTCTTGCCTGAAGACAGCAGGAGCCACAGTGCCAGGAAGCACTTCCCACTGCACAGGCATCCGAGCCCTGTGTCTTGCCTGAAGACAGCAGGAGCCACGCACCAATTTAAACTTCCAGCACTGCCTTTCTCAAATGCATCTGAGTTACCAGACTGGTATTTGGGTCCAGCGGGGTCCAAACAGCCATTCCAGTGACAGAACGCTTAAGTATTAGTAGTGTGAAGTAAATAAACTGCCCCTTACCACAGCAAACTGTTTGTTGAGCTTCATCTGCTCAGCCAGCACAGTGACATTGTGGAAAAGATGAGGCTGCATGTGACTCCACATGTGAGGGAACCACCAGAACTCCTTCCTGTGTTTGAGCAGCATGTCGTCCCCTTCATCTTCCTCATCTGTACCTACAGAGAGCAGAAAAGGAAATACAAAAAATAAAAGGGGGGCTCAATGTTTCAAAGCAGTGGCTAATCCCCTGCAATGCTGAGTCATACCAACAGAAAATCATGCTCTCTCTAACATGTTACACACACACAAACACGGGGGCCACACACAGGTGCTGGGATGAAAGGGTGCCAAGGGCTTACCTGTGTGGTAGAATTTCCCTGAGAAGCCCAGGTTGAAGGTGAAATTTGGGACTAAAGTTCTCAGCTTATTCTGGGTGCTCAGTAAAGCCTGTTTGAATGAAAGGAAAAAGAAATGTTCATATTCAGTTGCTTTGTAAGGTTTCTCTGCTCTACTGGTGCCCAGTTCGCTCTGAAGAGGTGTCATGGGGAATGGGGCAGCCAAGTGCTCCACATACAGAGTCTTTGCTTGAAGTAGTCCTGCTGTACTAAATGGTGCTTTAAAACCACACTCAGATGATGCTCTCCAACGTGAAAGATCCACAATGCCTGTGCTAAGGTAAAGGGACAATAAATCTCACTTCCAACAGGTCCCCTACTCTTTCCACATCCAACCTCAACACTCCCTTCCTCTCCCACGTTGGCTGGGACTTTGCCATTGAACCTCTGGCCTTTCTCTGAGCCTACGTGTTGCTGAAAAGGAGGATGGGGCAGCACATGGTGCACAGCTGAAAGGAATCACCAATATTGTGAACAGTACCTAAGCGATCCAAAGGGAGGGGGCTTTTATTTAGAGAGGAAAGGTGGATTTGCAGAACCACCCACGCAAGGAGTCCTGCCACAGCAGGCATCTATCCTTTCTCCTTGTGTCCCTTGAAAGTGCCAAAATCCTTTTGTAGCAACAAAGTTTCCTGTATTCTGTAAAGAAAACCTGTGGGAGCTGATATTCACAGTCATGACATCTCCTACAAGTTCTCTCTTGCTCGCTTGTGTCTGCTTTAAATGTCCAAAGTAATTGGCATAGCCAAAGGGAAGGAGCCTTGTGCCATAAACCCCAAGGTCCAGCAGCATACGGAGTTAGGCAGCAGACAGCCTTGACAGAAAAAAAAAAAAACCCAGAAGGCTCAGTATGTCACTTCCAAGTAAGACACAAACTAATTCCAGTCAAATTTCTTCTGCTGGAAAATAGTAACAAGAGAGAAGCCCCGAGATGCATGCTCTGCTGCCACCTGCGTGCTTCAGGGAAGGCATCACTGGTGCAGCTCCCTGTGGAAGTTCTCAATCAAATGGGGACCTGGCAGGAGGGCTGTTTGGCAGGTGACACAGATGCTCCTTGCCCAGGCAGTTACTTAGATTTTAATAGCTTTTCTAAGAAAGCAATGGATCAGTGGCTGCACCAAGGTGAAGGTGATGACCTTTCCACAGCAGACTTGGGCTAGATGCAAACACACAACCAACCTGGCACACAACACCGGGGGAAAGCCTACAGACCTTCCAAACTCTGCAGGGCAGATGGGCAGATCTTTCTGTATCAGCTGCCCTTCCCCAGCCTCAAGAAGCACAAGGGAGCACTAAAACACTGCCTTCACATGGCTGACACTCTGTAGGCATTGCTCAGGCACACTGAAAGTGTCACCAACACAGACTCTCATTCAGTGGAGGGACCAGCCTTGACACCTACCACTTAAGGTGATCCTGACGAACCACCGCTGTCACTAACACTTCAAAACAGTGTTGACCAAACACCATTCATCACATTAATTTAAAAATGATTACTTCTGTAATTTACTTCAATCACCCTTCCACTGCAGATGTGCCTTGGAGCAGAGCTATTGAGCGCTTTTATTCCCAAGGCAGGCAGCCCATGACCTCTCACACACGGCAAGGTGGGAAGACCAGACAAATTATTTCTGCAGTGCTGCAGACACTCTCTCTGAAGGAACCAAGCTTTCAGACTTTTCCCTAGAGACACACTTAATTGCCAGCTCCTCCTCCCCACAGCCACACAATACTGACATCAAATCAGCCTGGGACACATTTCAAAGATCCCAGCTCCTCCATGGCCACATGTCTACCACATCCTTACCCCAGCCCCCATCCAAGAGCAATATTTCGAGAAATATATGGCACATGACATCTCCAGAACCTACCACAAATGCAGGCAGTGCTTTTAAAAGGTGACATGCCAGCAGCACTGATGGCTGAAGCCTCCTTTGCTGCACAAAATCCAGAACAGGCAATGGGAGGTCAAGTTCTCCATACCTGACCCCACGAGACACAGGGATTCATCCCATATATCACAGAGCACAGACCAAGAGCTGTGCATCTCTCCAAGAGAAGCACCTGTCTGCCCACCTGGATGACAAGACCACATCAAATTTGGGACCAGCACCTTGAACACATTGCCCAGTATCATAGAAAGGAAAGTTCCTCTTTCTCATCTCCAAAGCTGTCCCAAGCCTCACCACTTCTCCCCACTGCCCCGAAAGGCACATCCAGTTCCTCAAGCTCGGGTAGGACAGTGGGGAGGAAAGACAGCAGCTAAGAGGCTTAGCGTTCCTCTGCACAGAGGGAGATTTAAAGCCTGTCTGGGGTTACCATGACGACACATCTGTCTGATGATAAATCCCAAAAAGCCTTGCTCCAGCAGGCAGCAATTCTTTGTGTTTGGGGAGGGACCAGGGAGAATCCGTGGGGGCCTCAGAAATTCTGAGACTGCAGAGCTCTATGGAGTCCTGCTTTTCTTGGTGTGTTTTATTGCTAATTGTGTGCCACCCCCTCTGCTGATGCTGGGTCCTTTCCACAGCCACATCTGTAAGGTGGCACGGCACAGGTTTGAAAAAATGTCTTTCCCTTGCACAGGATAAAAGAGACCGAGGTGCCAAGTAAAGTATCTGGGAGTTTGTTTCAACAACTTATGCATCCACTGTTCCCTAGCACCCTGGCCCAAAGAGGTCTGTGGGCTGTGGTAAGGTGGAACAATACAGATGTGGGAACGGGCCGGGAAGATGGCACTTCTCTCTTTCACACCACTACCCTCTCCTTTCTTTTATAAAGCAGGATGAACACGGTAGTACTAAAAACATCTTAGAGGTGACTCAAGCGGCATTTCATTTATATCCATAATGTACCCTGAGATTCTTAAACAAAAGGCAATTGAGAAACGTGGAATAGGCTATCCATTAAGATATAAAATAGCTAGCCAGATGCAAACAGATCCAGATGTGCGTATTCAAGAAATTTAGTTGCTCATGTGGTACAGCACAGAAGGCCAGCATTTTAGCTATCCCTCATCTCTTAAAAGGCAAGCTTCTTCCTCTAGAAAACTGCCCCTCCAACTCCTCCAAGTATTTCTGTTTTATATTTTCTAACTATCTTCCATTCCAAAAATCCTTCCAGGATGTAGCCAAGGCCAGAAAGGCCCCTTCCCCAGCTAAGCTCCCTGCTAGAAGCTCAGCGAGGCTCAACCCCAGGAAAGAACAGATGGGGTCTCCAAGAGATTGCCACCACTGGCCACCACAACTCATAAGCCACATCAAGGCCAGACTTGCTTCACGCTTGTCACAGTCTATCAGGGAACATGCTCTGCAACTCATGACCTGTATTTTTGGAGGCCTTTAGTACTTAATTGGGGCAGCCACACTGCATGGCCAAGGAACAGACATCTACATTCCAATGCACATTTCTGGACACAATGCAAAAAAGGTCTAAACTTCAGTCTGAGGTTCATTGCCCATCACTTTAAAAAAGGCTTTTTTATAATCTCAAGTTATGATAAAAATTTACTTCTAAGCAAATGTTAGGAGAAAAAAAATAAAATCGTGCCTTTTGTTGCAATACATTAAACAAATCTATATAATGGATCTGCAAAGATTTACTCAACAGTCACTACAAGCTTTTGATACCATCCAGTAAACGGTAACAACTCTCTCAATGGGGTTAAAATTCTACGATTGAGGAAGAAATCAAGGGAGGCACCCTGACTTTTAGGCTGCTTCTTTAGGACCTAATCCTAAAATGATGCCCTTGGGATCGCAATAATATAGGGCTAAACCTTCATGCAACTCTACTTTTTTAGCTATGAAATTTTTAACTTCCAAACATGTTTGCAGGGATTTTAGCTGTTTCATACAAACCCTAAGTATTACCTCTCCTATCTCAGATCCCTCTAAAAAGAGGTAAAAGAAAAGAGGGAACTAAGTTTGGGAGGCAGATGCTGGGAAGAGAGGGCACCATGGGTCTAGGGAAACAGTATGTGGACAAATGAAGAGAAACAGATGATAAAAAACTAAGGAAGAAAGGAGAGAGTTTGACAGCCTCTTCTAAAATGCTCCTGCAAAGCAGATTAGGAACATGCTGCAGAAACACCTTCTTCATAGGATCTGCCCCTGTGGACACTGAGTAGCACGTTCTCAAGAGGATTTTCCACAGTTTTCCCAGTGCCCAGCAGTGGCACTGGCACAGCTCAAAATAGCACTGTCAAAAGAGAAAGCATTCCCAGTACTGGTGTTTCTACCGCCCCGACAATGTTAGAATTATGGAGTTAGAAACTGCTGAGTATTTTCGTTTCAGGTAAGATCCCCCTTTGCAATTTAGAAAGGCAAGAGCTGGCTGCCAGCCACCCTCACTAGATTCTCTCTCTTCCACCCTCACCATTCATAACCCAAAATGAAAAGACTGTCCTTGATTTTCCCTTAGCTCAGACCTGCTAGCAATGACTGCTCACTATTTATGCCCTTGTAGAGATTACCAGCAGAAGAGGCAAAAACTCATCGACTTAATCTTCTTTTCTCATACCTAAAGACGACCAGGAAGGATCATAAAAGCCAGATCCTTTTGCATTAGAAACAGCTCGTCAGAGAAAGCATTCCCAGTACTGGTGTTTCTACCGCCCCGACAATGTTAGAATTATGGAGTTAGAAACTGCTGAGTATTTTCGTTTCAGGTAAGATCCCCCTTTGCAATTTAGAAAGGCAAGAGCTGGCTGCCAGCCACCCTCACTAGATTCTCTCTCTTCCACCCTCACCATTCATAACCCAAAATGAAAAGACTGTCCTTGATTTTCCCTTAGCTCAGACCTGCTAGCAATGACTGCTCACTATTTATGCCCTTGTAGAGATTACCAGCAGAAGAGGCAAAAACTCATCGACTTAATCTTCTTTTCTCATACCTAAAGACGACCAGGAAGGATCATAAAAGCCAGATCCTTTTGCATTAGAAACAGCTCGTCTTTGTTGGCCAGTTCCACGGAGGTTTGGTAAATTCAGAGGGATTATGATTTTAGAAGAGACTGAATGGGGAATAATTGAGAAGGGATTCTCCGAGATTTTGTTTTGTTAATTACATGCAGCTCAAATGTGTGGTAAACTTCACAAGGGGAAAACGTTTTCCCTGTGCAACTTCCAACTGCTTTGCTTCGACTGAGGACTGCAAGCTCCTGCTGCAGCCCTTCAGCAGAAACAGGGACTCAAGGGTTATCATCTTTAAACTAAAAGCAAGCACAATTCTTTTTTTTTTTCTTTTTAAAGAAGAAAGCTATTCAGCCTTCCCTTAAGCATCACAAATAAAAACGTTTCTCCTCTCACACAGGACATCTTCCATGGGCATGCATTTCATCAAATTATATTCACAGTCTTTTAATAGCAATTTTGTCTGGGAAGCTCTCTGAACGTGGACCTGCATATGGTGAACAGCCTCACTGGGACAGCAGAGTCAATTTTATACCTTTCAAACAACATCCAATCTTCAAACCGCTACCCTGACCGCTGTAATCTAAGCTTTAAGATAAGGAGCTGTGTGTTGAGATAACAGCCCTGAAACAGAGCTTTTATATAAAAGGCCAAAGCAAATGCCAGCTGTTCTGTCACTATTACATCCCCTTCTCTCCCCACGGCGAGAGGCTATCAACAAATCCATGTAGTTATTTCTCGCTTTTAAAAAATAAAAATTCATTAACCTCTCGTGGCTCTGCAATCAGAGAGCTTCTTTTAAATGGATAAACCTGGGGTTTATCTGCTTTGCCCGAGATTCTCTGCTTACTGATCACAGATTATTCCTCCATTTCACCCTGTTAAAACCCAAACAAAGCATCTTTTGGAATTATCTAGTCTGGCTTTGTTTTTAACATCACTAGAGCAGCCTTTGTTTCCAAGAGCTTTGGCCACCTATCTCCTGTTTTCTCATATAGGTCTTTAACCTGCGAAAACACGACAGAGGTGTGACTCTCTGCCAGCTTGGACTAGAGGGTGCAGGGCCTGCTTTGGACCTGGTTGTGATCCTTCAAGAAAAAAAGCTTTCAAAGTGTTTCAGCACCCCAAAACACAGAGGTACTGAAATGAAGAAAATTTTAACATTTTCCTTAAATAAATATTATATACAACAGTTCCATTTTTCTGTCTGCTTGGAAACACTTTTTCTATACCCGTTTGCTTAGAGAGTTATGGTCAAAGGTGACTCTGAAGAATTATTAAAGAAAGAAGCAAGTAAAATAAATAATGCCATGCAAGGCAAGCTGCTTCAGGCATGCAGCTTCAAATGAGCTGAAAAGATAAAGCAGGTTGCAAGGGTTTCCTTTACCCCAAGCTAAACTTGGGATCAGAAGCAGAACTTCAAATCTCAAAGACCTGAAAAAAATGGAGATGAACCAAGATATGTCTTGCTTGGATGCATAACACATGTAGGAAGGGTGGTAAGACTCCTAGTGAGGTGGAAGAGTGCTCTTGGGAACATGTAAAGGGTGAGGTTCAGTTCAGGTAAGGGGACACACATGTACAACAGTATTTTGTTTTATACCTTTGCCTCAAACGTTCTGTGCCCTTGGATGAAAGGTTAAAAGGTGCTTCACTTTGAAATACCTACAGTTTTGCAATATAAGAAATACACTTTATATATAATCATAAGAAATAATAATATAAAAAAATACAGTTTTTCTATTCTTTTCTAACGCAACCTGCGTTTTCCTTTTGAAAGGTAGAGTTTACAGCTACAAACAGGCTGACAGAGGAAATGTGCATGTGCTTGTTCCCTCTGTTAAAGAGGAGACAGATCATCCTCCTCTTAAAATCAGAGAGGCCAGCTACAGGTCCCAGAATGAAAAAGGCTCCATTTAAACCTGCAAAGCTGTTGAGAGCATCCAATATGGTGCCTCAACATCTTTGCAGGTTATTTCTCTGCTTAAAACCAAAACAATTGCAGCAATCGACTCTTTCACTTAAATTAAATGCAACCTTGACATTCCTGGCACACCACACACACACACACACACACTAGAAATTTGTCTGGGGCCTGTAGTTATTCTGGAGATTTTACCTCTACATCAGACACCTTCATGCGAGTGCCCTCTTTTCCCACAAATATATCATCAATGTCGACGAGGATATAGCGATCAAGTGTGAGACAGAGGCGCTTGCCAGTCAAGTAGGCAATGGCATCCACGAAAATGAGTTTGTGCAGCCAAAAATTGAGGTTATTGCCGAAGAGAACCCGCTGGATCCCATCATGCAGACCCAGGTCCTGCACCACCGTGGCATGCAACGCTTTGTGGGTGGCCAGGTGAGGAATGGACTCCGAGGACTTCGTGCTGGCCAACAGCACCGGCTCGTAGGTGCTGTGGTTCGACTGGAACACAGTCCAGTCATCACCAGGCAGGGGACCCTGCTCCACCTCGTTAGCCCGGGTGACGTAGAGCAGGGGAGCACTAGGGTTGATGTGATAGTCCCGCAGCCCCAAGTTGGAATGTAGGAAAAGGGGGAAACCCTTGAGCTGTGCGCTGAGTAGGCTGTTCTCGTTGGCTTTGAAAAAGCCTATAATCCCCACTCCATACTCTACACAGTATTTGTCCAGCAGCTCTCGGTTCCAAGCGTCTAGGTTCACATATTTAAGGATGTTCTCATAGATAATAAGAGCGTAGCGTCCCCTGTCTTTGTCTGTCAGGGTGGGCATGTCCCCTTTGCCAGGGGCGATCTCTGTCCTGTATTTAAACCGGCTAGATTCCAGGATGGCCACTATTTCCTGCCCCAGCTGGGAGTAAATGCTTTCCACGAAGACGAGCACCACTGGATCCGTGCGTGAGGTGTCCACAGACTTCGTGAGCCTCCAGCTGGCTTGCGGGGGGATCAAGATGCGGTGCTGGTTGCTGCAGTCACTGAAGGGCAGGGGTGGGGGCTCCTTGATTTTGGGACTGTTAGTGACGTAGTAAGCCAGGATGCACATGGAGATCAGGCTGAAGGCAATGAGCAGCAGGATCAATCTGTGGAGCTCCAGCTGTCGCACGTGCCGCACTACTTTCCACAACTGAATCATGGTGAGGCGGGCTGCCCACCCCCTCCTCACGCCCTGCGCCCACGCTGGGCTTGAAATCTCCAGTGCTGCCCTGGCAGCACCCAGCAGCAGCTCCCAAAAAAGCAAGAGCAGCTGCAGAGAGAGACAAAGCTAAAGCAAACAGCTACCAGGCTAGACTCCCAGGGATCTGCCATTTATCTCAAGTAACCATGGCCCTCAATTCCCATTGCTCTTTTGTGTGCTTCCTCCTGCTCCTCTCCTTTCACTCAGGAAAGTCTTTTGGAGGAGGGGGGCGGGGGGGGTGTTTCCTGAATCTCGTCTCCAACAGCAAATCAGTCTGTCATCCTGTGCACAAGCAGTTTCAGCTCAGCCTTCCCAGGTGCCCCGTTTCTCATTTAGCCGTTTCGCATTCACATGATGGCACCTTTTCTTTGCATCCTGCAATTTAAAAAAGAAAAAAAAAAAAGTCAATTCTCATTCTCAGTACGGATTCACGGTATTTAAGGGGTTTGAGATGAAATGGCAGGACCAGCAGGTGCGAGGTGGGCAGCATCACTCTCCTGTCAGCAGGCAGACCTGTTCCCTGGGAAGTGACGCACAGCATTCGTGCGGGAGCTTGGCAGGACAACTGCAATGGCCTTTGGAAGAAAGGTCCTGACAGAGCTCTCAGAGACTTGGCATTCACCTTGGGTGAGATTCTCACACAGCACAGCAAACACAGCCAGTGCACCTGGCCTTCCCCACCCCTCTTTATGCCATGAACCCCTTTTATTCTAGCCTATATTTCAAAATTACCAAGAAGAGGAGATAGCCCTCATGTTCTCCATCTTGTCCTGTTCTCACACTAAGGATTAGGTGTCCAAGTCCTTGCCAGTGACTTCCCAGGCCCTCAGGATACAGCTGTCCCGAACCCACCAGGATGCCTCAAATTCCCACAGCTCCTGATTTCCATGGTTCCCTCCTCTCTAAGAGGCTGCCCGACTTGTCCTGGGAACTCATGTTCTTCTAAGGCTCTCCAAACACAGCCCTGGAGTGGCATCATCCCTCAGGCATCACAGAGCCAAGGGGCACAGGCTGCCCACGCACTGCACACCTAATTGCTGCCAATCGATTCCACGGTAGTTGGAGAGGAGACATCTCCTGAAACCTTCCTTGCCTTCCCTCAAATGCCACTGAAGAGCACGAAGCCAGTTTTAAATCATCAACAGCACGACGTAAATTTGGGTTGGTCTCAAATACGTGAAAGTTTCTTGCTACGAAGCTCTCTCACCTCCTGCTTTGTGTTTATGGCAGCAGACTATTTCACCATATGTTGTTATTTTTCCAGGATAAAATGCTCAACAAAGCCAACAAACGCCAAGCCATTTAAAAACAAAAACACCATGGAAAGTAACTACATTGTTCCTTGGTTTAAAAAGAAAATAAAACCACTGTGTAGCTTTCTCTCCCTTACAAGAAGCGTGACTTACCTACAACACCACCCAGATGTGCGTCACTTGGGACACATTTTTGGGGAGCACCTGCTGCCCCTCCCAGCACAGTGCAAGAACAGATGCCAGATGTTGCTCACCAAGTCAGCGATGCTCAAAATGAGCTCTCTGTAAAACTTAAAACTTTTTTTTTCCTCTCAAAACCTGTCTTCTTCACACCCCCACGCTCCTGCAGACACGTGCTCCTCCACATACAGTCCCTCCAACCACCTGCACGACTGGCACAGCTCACAACACCAGGAGCCACGAGAGCAACAATAACAAGAAGTACTCCCCAAACAGTTCATCCTTTCTCCGTTCCTCATATTTTTGAGCCTTTTTGCTACTATCATCCTGATAAAACAAAGAATATTAGAAAAACTAGTTTAAGACAGGCATAAGGTTTTTATATAGTAAAGTCAGGGTTTTAACAACTAGCTCCACCAGACAAGAAACTACTCGTGAGACAGATGCTTATTTTGCTCCACCAGAGAAGAAATTACTTGTGAGACAGATGCATATTTGTAATGTGTATTACTAAACAGAAAAAAATCCTTCTGAGTCAGGGAAAATATCAGTTCACAGATGAGGCCAAAAGTCCCACTCTAAAGACTCCCACCAGGCTGTTTTCCAAACTGCTGTTGCAGCTTGAAGAAGATACAACAAAACCCCAAGCAGATTTTATATGAAGAGCTGTAATATTGCTAACTTTGTGACAGCAGATGGAAAAGAGTCAGAGTGCTCTTTACAGAAGCCTTATAATGATCATTAAGTATTATCTCAAATAACTTGTATGCTATAGACTCAGCAGAGCAGGGTCTGGCTTGTGTGGTGCACAATGAAACCTTAGCCATGATGAGGTCTTCAGAACAGCTACAGACTGTGAATGTAAAGTATATTACAGAAATAATTTTTCACTGGAGAAACCGAGACAGAAAATCTTATTGAAGGTCACACTGCAAGGCAGCAGATGAATCAAGATTTTTTTTTTTTTTTAAAAAGGTAATTTCTGTTCCCTAGACTCCAAATGGATCGAGTCCCCATTCCCAAATGGCCCTCTATAATGACAGAGCTGGCTTTGGAAATCCAGCTCAGTCAGCGACAATAAGCTGTGTTTTCTTCAACACAGACAACCAATCATCTTTCAGTCCTGTCTCTACATACTGTTAACTTCTTATTAGAAAAAGGACAAGGGAGACAAGGAGAGGAATTACTAGGAGAAGATGTAGAAAACAGAATTCAGATAGTTTTTTTCCCCTTTTTTTTTTAACTGAAGTGACAACTGGTTTTGAATGCACAACTCTCTGCATTCTGCAGAGATATGGCTTATAATTCCAGTTCAAGTCAAGTTCAGTCCCAGTGACAGAGGTCCCAGTGTATAAGCATTGTACCCAAAACCGCGTGCCACCTTTCACAAGCAACCAGGAAAATAACTTTTCCACCTCTGAAATGAGCTTTTCCCACCCCACTGCCTCTGCAAGGACAGCCCCGATGTCACCACCCTCGTCCTTGGCACTGGAGCTCCCAAGTGGCACTGAACTGCAGAGAGGCAGGAGCCAGGGCAGGCAGAATTCAGCAGGGCAGAGAGAGGCTACATAGAAACACACCATAAACACTGTGTCTTGCTTTATGAGGTGAATTCCCTGTAAGACACAATACATACACAGTTCCGTGCATATTGGCTGCTGTGAGAAGTGGCCTTCATTGTACTCCTGTGCAACAAATTCATGCAGAACACTCCACTCACGTTCCTAATACTTGATTTTGACTGAGAAGACTGAGAATAGCATTCAAAGATTCACTATCTTAACATGTATTACAGAAAAAGTTGTTTTTACAGGAGCAAATAATGTAAAGAGGGACTTAGAAGCTCATGTGTTGCCTGCAGAAATTTCCAAGGAAGTGTTTCTGGGGTAGAATTCACCATCTAAACGCCACGGTAGCAGTAAGAAAACCCAGAATATGCTGATGTATGCAGAAGCCTGGCAAAGTACTGTACTACTATTACACCTCTTTACCCGCAAAACACCAACCTGGAAAACACTTCTCTTCCCTGGTTACAACTCACTCACCTCTCCAACTTCATTTTTAGTGGTGAACTGAGTCTCCGTTTTGCAAAGAGCTGTAGCTTCAGTTTCCTGGTTATCAGTTTAAAGATGAAAATCACAAGACAACTGGATTATTCTGTAGAATAAGGATGAAACCAGAGTTTGAGCTAGGCTGCCACACCTGCAGTGCCCAGCTGAGGGGCAAGAGGGAGAGGAACCCCCTTTGCTGGGCACTTCTGAATCACAGCAGTGTTTTCATAACAATGACTCCATTCAAGCCTCTAGCGAAGCTCCCAAACAAGCACCCATTTGTTACATGGGTGAGCTCAAAAAACAAATTAAAAAAAAAAAAAAAAAAAAAAGCCTGTATCAGATTGCTGCTCAAGAATCTGTCAGCTCCGATCTCTTTAACAAGGCTTCACAGCCAGAGGGCATGCCAGCTGGCACGGTATGCATTTAGCTCTTTGGGGACCACATCAGCTGCTTGAGGTTCAAATGAAAAGGAAAAAAAAAAAAAAAAAAAGGCAAGAAAACAAATACACCAAGCAAAATTTATATTAAAAGGTGAGAGAGCTGTCAGAAACCACCTATATCCAAAACACAAAGCCCAAGGAGATCTATACTGGAGAAAGAAAAGAAAAGAAGAAGAAAAATCACACTGAAAATGGCTCACTCTTAAAGGAAATGAAAACACCCGTGTCCTCTTTTGAGATGAAACTCCTTGAAACCTAACACCATCCAAAAAAAAAAAAAAAAAAAAAAAAGAGGTTTATAGATAAATTAAGGTCCATTCCAAACTCCTGCCAGGGCTGCCTGAGTGCGAATGGCAGGGGGTGGCAGTCAGAAGGCACAGCAAGGATTAAGTGTTTCGCCAGTGCAAGGACGTGGGCTCAGCAGGGTCCCCTCCTGCCAGGAAAGCATCGCTGGAGCAGAGAGCATCAGCTGTAAGGTCAGCTCTCTCACAAATCACCAGCATCAAGACAAACACCTTACAAAACTCCCATGTTCTGTTTCCTGGTGATATACAGTGTTAACATGAAACATAAACCATTCCGTGAATTATCAGCCACATGGCAACTGATGTGACATGAAAGCAAGACAACAATCAGAATTGTGTGGTTTTAATGTCTGATTTTGATATTTCCAACACTTGGAAATTATCATGGGGGATCAGTACAAATGTTCAAGACCAGCACTTATCCAAAAACAGTGACCAGAATATATTTTTGGGGGTACATTCATGCCAAGGCACGTGGAAGATAATTGGTGTCACTGGACACCTTTATCAAGAGCTTCTGTCATATAAGATCCCTCCAGGCTGAGCCACAGAAGGTCTCACCACCCTAAAAACCAGTGTCACAAGTATATTTCCCCAGCCCTTTCTATTATTCATAATATAATCCCTCTTTCTGGAATGCACAGCAGCAGGATCTTGCCCTTGTCCACAACAGCTCTAATTCAGAGGTCTTTCTTTGGCACTTCCTGAGAGACGGTTGTTGCCTTGGGCCCCAGAGGGACTGCAGTAATTGAGTTACACAGTAATCAGAGAAGGAATCTGATTGATTTTCCAACCCATTCCACTTTAATGGTGTCATCATGACACAAAATTCCTCGTTAGTCTACTTGATTGCAAGACACCGCAGCCCCTCTCCTGTCTGGGGGTGGTATCCAGCCCCTCTTCTCTCGTGAAGGTAGGGAGCCTGACAAGGAACATCAGCAGAACACGGTGAACTACACTACAAAACAATTAGCAGAACCTCTGGAGGATGAATGCTGGTTGTATTCCACATATTGGATTATAAAAAAAATACTGTGGAAATTACAGCCACATTGTAATGTCATTGCCAACCCAGCTCATTTTTGGGGTCGGGGTATGTGTTTCAGCTAGCACCCACCACCAGTCAAATCCCATGGTGAGAGA